GTCAGGTGAAATATGATCGTTACAATTTTCACTTCACTAAGAGTAAATGTGTGTGTGTAAAATTATTATATCGAGAGTAAGTAAAGCAGAGTTGGGATAAGATTTTCTGAAAAAAAAGTATATTCTATTTAGATATATTTAATTTTAATCGCTTTTGACAGGGTAAATATTTTAAGTTTGTTTTACAATAAACGAAACTACTAATAAATTTCCCGTTTCACCATTTATAGTAGTTCTATAATATGTAATTACAAAAGCAATTAATAAAAAAAAAATGTTTATGTATATTATACAAGATAAATAATACTTGCTAATAATACACATCTCATAATTGTTGCCCCAAAGTCTTCAATTGAAATAATTATGTTTTTCATTATTTTATTCTTATTTGATTTTGTTCAAAAGGATACGATAGTAGTCTAACAACGATTATTACGTTTTAATGGCACATAGTAATATATTGTCTTAAATACAAAAAATATCAATTTACCAAGTACGAGTTAAATTTATATTAATATTGTTGAGAGGTTTTGTAAAAAAATACATTTCTGGTTAATATTTTAAACTTCCTAAGATCAAAGCTGACCGGGTTTATTTTTATTTTAACTCTATAGTTAGAATTTATTTTTTTAATATAGATAAAAATAATACTTTCTCAGCATACTATAAGCATCGAAGCTAAAACTACTCGATTGAAATCACGATTGAGTGACAGTTCTTTTTTGTCAAAATAAAATATCTTTTTAATTTGTTGCAAAAGAACTCGCATGGAAATGTATTTAATTTTAAATACTCAAACGTTTTATTAAGCATCCAAAACAGTCAACTCATTATATTTATCTAATGAACGTTGAATAATATTTACGGAGTTCTTGCTTCATAACTCATTTACAAACTGTGGCTAATAATATAAGACATTTGGCTAAGTTTAAAGCGGGACACTATTTATAATAAATACAACATCAAGGCGTATAAACCGATTAAAGAAGTGTGTTTTAAAAATATGCTTTCATAAATTATACTATTATTTGAAGTATTAGCCATTTCCTGTTGACGGACATGATGGTCAGCATACCACCGTGAAAATGGCGATTCAAAATAGATTAAATCTACTATACCGGACATCATTTTTTTAATCCAAAGTACTGACTACAGATCAACAAAAAATTTGCGTCGCTCGCCAATAGTTTAGAAGTTATACCTAAACGTTTAAAAATCGCGCAAATACTGATAACTACCCATACTTTAAGACGTTTTTTGTGCATCAATACTATTAGATATTATTAATAATACTTAATAACTTCACTTGTTTAACATTAATTAATACATTTGGTATTGATAATATAATATTATACCGTTAAAACATTTGGAGTGCATGTGCCAATACAAAACTGTACAGTGAACACAAATAGTAAAAAAAAAACAAAGAGGTCAAACTAATATGGCAAAGTCCTATAGAAATAACGTCGTAGAAAATATCCTACCAACAACTTTTAAGTAATAACTGCTTAAACTTTTACATATAAATTAAAACTTTTTCGCCTGAAAATTATAATATTAAATTACAAAAGCAATTTTAATAACGGACTAGTACATACACGTTTAATAAACGCCATTTTAGTTTTAATTTTGTTGTTTTACAACGAATTGTTTAATAACGTTTCTTTAATTAAGCTTAGTGAACTTATACTTTTGACTTGAGCCAAATTAATTATCAAGTAAACAAACAACGAAAACAATCAATAATTGCACTAACAGCTGTAATTTATTTTAGTATCATTGCAAAAAAACTAACATCTATTTATTCTCAGCTTCGCTTCGAAGTTAAAATATTTATTCGGGTTTTAGCACCAGTACAAATTTAGCATGGTACGTAAACTTTTTATAATTTAATATTCTGTTGGTTTTACAAACAAATGTTGGAAATTCGAGATAAGTGTTGAGTCATGGAGTTTTTTTTATTAAAGTAAACTATTGGGAATCGGTTTGGGTGAATGGTATCGGTCAAAAAGAAATGCCAATACGGGTTTTTAAGTAATTGGTGAAATAGACATTTAATGGGGTTTGCGCGTAATCTGTCTATTTTAATAAACGCCAACTGCATGAGAATCAAATTGTGCTTTTCTCTTTTCTACCTTTAATTTGTACTAATAAATAAAGACGCGCGATAAAAAAATTGGCGACTCATGATATCATCCGGTTGATGGACCTGTCTTTAGACTATGTGGTAAATGTTGAGTAGTCCAGTGACGGCTTAATTGCATTTTGACATCTCCACAACAAACGGCAGACACTTTAATGTATTCTTTTCCCTAGAGTTGTCTGTGTTTCGTGAATCATGATAATATAATTTATAGGACAATGCAATTTGAAAAGAGACGTTTCGACGTACCGTTAATATTGATAATTATGATTATCATATTACATCGAGTTTAATGTTATATTATAATTTATACTATAAATACACTGACTCAAAATATTGTTAAGCCATAAGTACCATAAATTTACCTTTAACAATAATCCTACTTAATTATCGATATTGATTATCGCATTCTCAGTTAATAGTTAAAAAATATCAGCTCGGTCATAATAGGCCAACCTAAGTTGTATTATATTCAACAAAATATTATAGTCCTTCGATGACCCCGAGGCTAGAAAACCGTTTTACGACGGTGATCAACTGTTTAACTATATTTGCTCGTAAACGAGATTAATGGCCCTTGGTAATAGTTTCGGACCATATCGATTCCATAAGATATTGTACAAAGGGAGAAGACGTATGCTCAACATTATTTGGCTAGATACTATGTGTCGTCTTGCGTACATACTACATGGTACTTACTTATAAATAACTCTTAGACGACGAGAAGTGCAAGCGTTTTTCTTCAAACTCCAAATAAGCTATTATAGAAGATATTTAAGGGGAACGGAATATAGGGGGAGCGCTATTTAATAAGGTGCAAAGGATAGGCAATATTTCACAAATTTTGATCTAATAGCCATTTTTCTTATGTCTACTAATTTCAAGGCGAAAACATTTTTTTTTTATGCGAAGCTTACTATTTTTTCTATGGGGGTTAAAAGGGCGAATTTTGATTTAGCGATTAAAAAAGTAGTTAGATGTATTAGAAAAACTATAAAAAAGTGAAAATAAAAATGCTTATGGATATTTTTTGAAAACAAAAGTAAAAAATCGGACTTTTAGCCCCCCATAAAGAAGATGTTTAGTAAAAAAAAAAAAATATTGAAATCGGTTCGGTAGACACTTCAGAAAGTGACTCCGCGTTTCAGTCTTTATTTGTAATATAAAAATAATTAATCATAAAAAAAATAAAAATTGTTCGGTTTTTTAAATAATCAAGCTAAAACCAGTGGATTCATTTACATTGTTTTGTGTAAAAAACAAACTAATGGTCACCCCAAAAGTAGTATAATGTGGTAAATAGTTACTTAACGAAAATTTACGTTTTATTTTCTAACTTTTAACATAAATCATAGTCAACCATCGTTTATCCACTTTTATAATGAGCAGAAATATTTCAATATTATCTCATCACAATCAACCAAATATATTTACTAAGGGCGCCGGCTAAAACATAAATTATATTATTAAATTAAATAATTGATTTTTAATGAAAATATCTGTCACACCACTGACTAGACGTTAGCAAAACTAACTGGATACATTTTAAACACTTGTGATATGTACATGCGACCATGTCTTAAATATACCAGGTTATTAAATTTCATATCATAAAAAATAAAATGACAGCGTTAAGGGAATCAATCAAATAAATTTATTTTATAAAGATATGTTACATGTATATTAAAAAACATTGATATGTCCTTACACTGCTATTTTGTGAATTAAAAATAAATGGTTGGGGTTATACAAAATCCTGGTATATTTAAGCCATGCGAACAATGTTCGCATGTCATATAGGAACATATTCCTACACAAATTTCTCTTGTTTACAGTAATGCTTGTTGGCTAAAAGACACCGTCAAAAGTGTAACGGACGAACCCGGCTAGGCATATCTCTTATACGTCAGTGTAATTGTGGACAAGACATCAAACTCGGTACTATCGCTCCACTTCTCAAAAGAGCTGCTTACTGTAAGAATATAGGAGGGGGGGGGTGCTTAACATATTAAAATACCAGGGAAAATAAGTACATACATCTATCCATTGGTATGGGTGCTTTAGTATGTTCATTCATGAGGCCAGTAATGGGTAGTTGATCAAAACCCCTTGGAAAAATACATATTGAATTAGTTCCATTACTATACATTGTAAAGGATGTTGGGTACAAAAGGGTTCTTTAAAAATAGTGTCTGATACCCCTCGCGAAAAATGAATGTACGCCACTAAATACATTATGTACAGTTAGATGTCTTCCGTCCACCTTTCTATGTCTCGTCGTAAGGGTTTCAACTTTTCAGATTTTAGGTTTCAACCTAAATGGGTTGTTTTGCCGCCTAGTCCACAGCGTCGGCTAGGCTATACGTGACATTACAAGCTGACCTCGACCAGCCTCGACTGGCGATGTCAATTTCGGGCGGACACCCGAGTTAAGTGTCCAGGTACATAAGACACTGGTGACAGGGAAGCGTGCCCGATCGCGGGGTATGTGTTGCGTGTCCGGCCGCGGTGGCACCGGCGGCGATAGCCGAGCAGTAAACGCCGCAACGCGTAAAGCGGCCCCACGAAGGTAACGGCGAATCGATAGGGGCGCGAGCGGGGCCCAATCGGCGGCTGGTGGGTCCGCCCGGCCGCGCCACCGTCGTCCGGCGGGCCGTCGCTGGCGCCGGCGGCCACGAAATCGCGCGGCACCGCCGTCGAGCGTCCCGCCGCGCCGCCGTGCCTCCGATTTCGCGCGAACAGCCGCCAAAAACGCACACACACGGGCACGCGCACACACACGGCGTATAGCGCGCACACATACACGCTTACACGTACACGCGTCCAGCGCCGCCGTCGTAGCAGCCGGTCACTGGTACAACCGTCGCCGCCGTCAGTCCACCACGAGACCCCGGCACGCATTCGTCTTGCTCCAACGACGACGCCGACACCACCACACCGACCACCGTGCACACAACACACTCGAGATAAGAATAATTATTTTTATTTGTTTTTTCTGAGCAACCACCCGAGTCAACGGGTCGGCTTGCACGGTATCCGAGAGTACGTGCGGAAATCTCAGTCCGCGGATCGCGTTTAGGAACACACACCTATACGCGACAGTCACATACCGGCGTGCTGGTGGTGCCCCTCTGTGATACACAGAGAGATAGAGCAAGGGAGACGATATAGAAAGAGGGAAAGAGTGGGAGAGCCGTCCATCCGAGTCGGCGATCACACGTGTTGGCACATTTCCAAGCGCTATTCCGCGTAAGTCTATAACACACAAATACATATATATATATATATATATACATATATAAATATATATATTTATAAATATATAATATACATTACATGCTTGATTATTATAAATATTGTTTAATTTACGTTACACTTAATGTAGTTTAGACGCGTGTTATCACCGCAAATCGTCTCCGTCACTAATCGCCGTCACGCGGTCAGGCTTTTACAATATATCAGCTGGTATTTATCGACGTTAGCTAAACACGCACAATCATTATACTTTATTAACTAAAAAATGTCATACTTCGTTTTTAGTTTTTTTCTTTTCGAACCACTGCCATATTAACCATCAGGCAAGATAGGCACGTGCCTATGGCCCCCAAATTAAAAGGGCCTCACTTCGCTTCACACTCGTATTTATCAAATAACGACCACAGTCAATATTTTTATTTATGTGAACTATTTAAAAAAAATGTATCCACGGTGTGAATACATTTTAGAATTGTACATGTTAGAAAGTTAGAAGGTTTTTACTAATACTATTACTAGTTGTGTGAAAAATATGTTTATTATTGATATTATTACATGAGGCTCAAGCCCTGTTTATAGCGGGAAACTAACTATAGAGTGTCCTATGTATAAAGAGGCGAAAAGTTGGAATTTTTTAAAGTTTGATATGAATAGCTGTATTCATAAAATATGCTATGAAGAAAATAAATGAATTTAAAAAATAAAAACAAAATACTAGATGTTTTTTAATACGTTTTCTGGGGTGGCTTTGTGCATTTTTAAATTACTGCGGAGGAAAATATTTGACATTATTTTTGTACCTTTAAAAATAAATCGTTATTATTACTCATTCAAGTGGTTCTTAGTAGTAGTAATAAAATATTAAATAAAGAAAAATATTTGGGGAGGTATTTGTTTAATTTATGGAAAGGGACCCCTTAAAAATATTTAGCCTTATGGTTTAAAATGTCTAAATCAGGACCTGTTTTGAACTGTCCAGTTACCCATTCAAATAAGAACATTTAGATTAAACCGAAAATGTAAATTAGATTATACGTTTCTTAACTAAGGTAATATGTGTGTGTGTATTATTAACAACAATGTGACGATGATTATAATATGTTATGCCACGGATTAGGGTTGTATATTAGTGTTATTATAATAACACTTTAACGAAACGTTGAGTTTTGGAAGGACTCGATAGACGCGTGTCGGTAAGTTGACTTAAAGTTTATCGCGCGTTGTTTGTTCATCAAAAGCTCTTTTTGGCGTCTTAAAATTATATAAATGCAACATAAACAAATAGAGCCAAAAGAAAATTTGTTTGTTTACATAATAAAACACTTTGTGACGTGTTTGCCAAACCATTCCACAATAATAATAATATGTTATATCTAAATATTTATGCGCGCCATATTTGTGTTCAAATCAATGACAGCTCTTCTCTTATAAATTAACGTTAGACTGAAACGTAAACATTTTCTTATTTGTTAAGACATACTTGTCGACAAAAGAGATTTTTCTCGCGTGGTTTACTTTATAAATGGATCAAATTCCTTGACGGCTATTATTAAAACGTTTTCAAAAGCGATTGATGCTGCAGTAGAAAAATACGTTATATACTATTATATTATAATGATATATTGATATAATACCGTCTATTCTGCAACGAACGCACAATGAGCTCGCACGATGCGAAAAATTGCATATTCTGCTAAATTTTCGGATCGAAAAATGTGGAGAAATTATTAAATTAAGTATCAATCGATCGTTGAGTTATTATGAACTTAACAGAAAATCGCTTTTTCCAATTTAGACCTCACCGATACATTATAATATAATTTTAAGAACGGAGTGAATTTATTAGGCAATATGCCTAGGTAACAGTAGGGCTCCGGTATTTGAAAATTTTGCTCCATTCTCTTATTATTATGTTTTTTCTTAATTGTATCAAGTTCCGTACCATTTCTCCCTAATTCGGTTAACACAATAATCCCGGCCTAAACCTAGTGTAAATGATTAAACGCCAAAAGCTGTTGGCAATATTATATAAAGTTAGTTTTTACTCATCCGTTATGGTATAATAATACAAATAAATATTATTAAAAAACGCGGGGTTGGTAAAACGGAATACGTTTTTGCCCTATTATTTCATCAACTCTTGGCGTCGAGGAGGTGGTGCACGAAGCGCTTGTGACGGCACTTGACCTCTTTCCGAAGGCTATATACGTGCCTGGTAAGTATAGGGCTTCGTTTGATCGACGTCGTCAAGGCGATGACTAGGACCGTTTGTAATACGCTTCTCCGTGTATCTATGTGTATTATATTTTAGTATATTATATGTATAACAATAGAAGGGTGTTGTCTCCACGGCCGTACGTCACGGGTCTTCCACCTTAACCACTTACCCCGGAATGTCATGGCGCGGGACAGTTATTGTGTGCAATTGCGGGTTATCGCGTTCAGGTGAATCCTTACACGGGGCGGCTTAAAAATCGACTATCCTCATTAGAACTTCACCACAAATACACTTACGCGATCATCCGTACCGAGCTTATAATAGCGCGATATTGTCAACGAGGGTCTGCTGGCAGGGGCGGTGAACATTTTCATTAACTTCGCTTGTTAAGTACTAGAAAGTATATTTATGTTTGCGCCCTCGACGTGCACGTTAACTTCTTCGTAACGACGAAACGCGATGGACGTGATAAACTAATAAATAAATACTTGGCTACTGTTTTATCACCTCTCCGATCGGTATCCGCGTAATACATTATTTCTGTGATGAATTCTTTAGACTTTGCGATTTTGTACCACCGCCAAAGTGTGTTATGTGCTCGTCAGCTTAATCGAGGCATAACATAGGTAATCCTCGTTCCACGGCTGGAGAGTTAATGGTGTAGTACGGACGTTGTCGGTAAGTGTTTGCCGAGAAACCCAACATCGATGAAAACATATTATGAAAAAAGCAATAGAATTACGACGAAACAGGGCACTATAATTTTTATCTATTGTGGTATCATATTATTTTGGAACTGATAACTTCGTGCGGTATTGTGATATTTTTATGGGCGGGAAATCCGGCGGATCCGGAAAAATCAAATCGTGCCTAACGTTTCACCCTTTTCTTATTATGTATAGCTTAGTAAAACTGAGTATATGAGGTAAATATGCACTTGTAAATCGTCTACGCGTACTAGCGAACATGTAAGGAAACATATTTATTCTCCAAGTTGTACAAATAAACAAATACACTCGATAACAAGCCCTCTAAATATATAATAACACATCGATATCGAAATCCACAGATAGGTATCAACTTTGCCGACAGGTGTTGTATTAAAAAAATTATGAATACAAATTTTTTGAAATCCGATATTCTTGGGAGGATATTTGGGTAAAAAATATTTATTACCTAACACGGGAGACAACTAGTACTTTTTGACTCAAATCGTTAAGACAAGAAATAAAGGTCACCGGAGGGAATTTGGATATCCTTGGGAGGCAATTAGGATGAAAAATATTTAGTACCTAGCACGAAAGGCAATTCGTATGAGTCTTAAAAATACCCGTCGTTATCTATCAAAATAGGTTTTTATTTAATTGCTTCGTTTCACACACTTACAACAATTTTACATTTTTTTAATATATTCGTACCTATATGTTTTTACACTTTATAAAATTTTCGTGGTCCCGTCGATTAAAGAAATTCGGTTTGTTTCATTCGTTTGTTCGGTTCATGTTTTACAAAACACACGTATTTCAATATAATAGTCAGGGACGGATTGTCAAACGGCATCCCTTTGCTAACCGAAATTTACGGCTCCTATCCTCAAAATAGAAATCACTTCTGTTCAACAAAATGTTCTTGCATAAAAATATTTTCTCGATATTTTGCAATTACTTTTTCATAAAAACGGTAAACAAATTAAAAAAAAAAAAAAACGTTCCGATTTAAATACATTTAGTTTTATTAAATAAATATTTATGAAAATATATTTTAACCTTATTAATATAACACAAGAAAAACATCATATAAGTAATTTTATTTCGTTCTCCTAACGATTGATTCTTTTTTTAGATTTCAGAAAAATGAATGGTATACGTGAAATACAGGCGCGGTGAACTGTACCGGTAACGATAAACCAAGCGTATATTCCAGTATTCGTAAATATTACATAATATTTTAAAGTTAAAAATAGGAAAATCTAATATTTTTCTTCAAAATTAAATTTCGAAATAGTAAAATAAAATAAAAAAATAATGTATTTTTACTACATAAAAAAAAATATATATTTAACAAAATCTTGCCGCTCTATGCGGCCGCATATCTGAAGTGCCCTAAATCCGCCCCTGAATTAATAGCGCAGGGTGCTGTTGTTTTATTTTAACTATGAATCTGATAACTGATAAAAACAAATTTGCATTCTACAATACTCCATTATCTGATCAGAGAAACAAAAAAAGTAAATAAGTGTATTTGTAAACAATAAACATTAGACTATTAAGAATGTGTAGCGTGAATGTTTGATTTATAAACAAAAGAAAGCAGCTTAGCCGCTTAAGTTATTATTTTATAAAGCGTACAGGTAAATATTGACAATAATATAAATTTATCGTGACTTTGTTGATACACTCAAATTTACAACAATTATTATTATTATTGTCCAACAATAAATTACAAATATAGTAACGCGTTTTTTCTTATTTCTTAATCAACGGGAGTATTTGTCACTGACTCAAATGGAAATCCATTTATATTGCATATAAATCATCTATTATTTGGCGATAGTTAATGTTTTCTCGTGTAGAATTGAAAAAAAATATCTTATTATCTTTTCCCTTGCTTCGGATAATATTTTTTTTCACGCTGGGTTGAAGAAGAAATAGTTCAGCGGTGATTTATGCGTTAGCAGCGGTATGTAATGAAGGAAAAAAAACTTACACTCCAGTTGCGTATTGATTCGCCCAAGGGTATAGATGATTTGTTTAATGGCTAACTGAATCCGACGGGT